CTGGCGCTCTCAGCCCTTCCTCCTTCGCTGTGTTGCCTAGCAACGGAGGGCTGGAGCAATAGGAGCAGGGGCAGAGCGATTCAGGGAGCAGATTGGCGGATGATTTATTAGCTGGGCTGGAGAGCAGTGAGCCCAGGCAGCTGAAATGGAGCCTTAAACTGGAGCCGACATGTAGAGAGGGAGGGAGGGAGCCAGTGAAAGAAAGAAAGCGGAAGGGAGCAGAGGAGAGAGGGAGCATGCACACATCTCTGTGGAGATGGACGGACAGACTGAGCAAATAGTACAGTTGGGGAACATAATTAAGGTGACATAATTAGGACAGACACAGGCTGCACAGGCAGGTTGAATTGATTCAAAAGTCAGATAAAGCAGCAGCACACTCATCCTGTGGCTCCTATAGACACTTTAAATACATCATGGAAATGTATTCCAATTTTCAGGTTAAAGATTTGTACATCCACATGCAGCTGTGCCCATTTGTGATGACCCTATTTGAAGCAACTATTTGATTCCAATATTTCCGTACTCTTGTCATCACCAGTGGTGAAAAGTAACTGTGCATTTACTCAAGTGCTGTACTTAAGTATAATTTTGAGGTATCTGTACTTGAGTATTTGAATTTGTATTAGTATTTCAATTTGTGCTACTTCATACTTGGACTTCACTACATTTTAGAGGCGAATATTATACTTTTTACTCCACTACATTTATTTTCTAACTTTTCAGTTACTTTTCAGAACCAGATCAGTACATAAAATGAGTATAATCCATAAGACTTGGTCTTTAGTGGAAAATTCAGAGCTAAGCCAGTTAAAATTAGGTCCCCCTTTACCAGCTGCAACATTAAATTTGAAGAACACAATAATACACAGGTAATTTAATTCAATAATATGATATACATTAATGTTAAACATGTCCTTCTGTATAATCAATACTTTTACCTTTAGTACTTTAAGTATGTTTTGCTGCTAATACTTCATACTTAGGTGGCTCGGGCATCTGTTTCGGATGCCTCCTGGGCGCCTTCCTAGGGAGGTGTTCCGGGCATGTCCCACCGTGAGGAGGCCCCGGGGAAGACCCAGGACACGCTGGAGGGACTATGTCTCTCGGCTGGCCTGGGGACGCCTCGGGCTCCCCCCCATTCCCCCGGTGGGGCATCTTTACTTAGACTGCTGCCCCCGCGACCCGGTCCCAGATAAGCGGAGGAAAATGGATGGATGGATGGACTTCATACTTGCTTAAGTAGGACTTGAGTAGTTTAACTCTTATGTATTGGTACTTAAGTAAAGGATCTGAGTACTTCTTCCACCACTGGTCATCATCTGTCAAACACATTCTGTAATGCTGAGCCTTTGAATTTGTGCAGTGGCTTGTCACTTGCTAAATGGAGCCCTGTGCAAGTCTGACCAACAGACCAGATAGTAATCTACTTTTAACCCTTCAAGTAGCTTGACACAGGTGTCCAGTGTAGGGGAGTGCTTGTGTTGGAGACGGCTCCATCTACTGGCTAATCAACTGCTACACCTTCAATCTGATTAATGCATATTCACCTCTGTCTCATGACAATGACAGGATGGGCCTTGTTGTTCAGCTGTCAACTCCTTTAGCTTTTGATCAGGCCCCTCGTTTGTAAGTATTTAGTCTGGTTTAACAGAGGCTTACACTTTTCTGTGTTGTTCCTCACAATTATACATGAGAACTGTAGAACTTCAGACTCCCGAGTCTGCTTGTGTAATGGAGATAAATACTGTCATTCGTTCCAGTTGTTGATATAGACTGCTCTGTCTCTGCTGTAATTTTTTTCTCCTAAAAGACTGCTGTGTGTTAGTTCTGTAAATTTGGCCTTTGTTCCCCCCACTAAAGCCAAGTATGTAAACAAATCTGTGGTTACATAACGTACTGTACATGGCATTGGCAGGCGGGGCTCTGTGTCAGGTTTTTCCTCTCACTTGTCTCCTTCCACCATGTCCAAGACCCTTCTCAACACAAATTGTATCAGCCTGCCTCCCCTCTACAGCTGCCAGGTCTCTGTGTGCATGCTCACCCCAAGCTCAGAATGCATTTAAAGGACTGCTGCAGTTTCCTCTTAAGGAAATAACTTTGGTTATTCAGTAACAAGCAGTTGCCAGTTGCTGGGGCTTTTTTTTTTCCCTGTAGGGGGGGGTAGAGACATGAAGCCTGCTTGTGCCGTGCTAGAGGATCGAGAGCAGGCTGAAATGAGCGCAGTGCCCGACTCTCACATGAAGCTCAGGACTCCACTCCGGGTTTTTGAGCCTGCTGCAAACCAGAGTCTCTCTTGCAGAAAGATCACATGTAAAGCCTTCCCCTTTGTAGTGGAAGAGCAGAGAGTGACAAGCTATTTCTTGCTTGTTAAAAAAAAAAAAGGATAAAAAAAAAAGCGATGTACCGTCGAAGACATTGTGGATTTGCTCCCTGAATTTTCCTTTACCTGTGGCTGGCCGTAGAGATTTGTGCTGTGCTCCTTAAGGACTTTTCCCTGCCTTTTGCTGGAGTTACTTGCTGGAAACGGTTGGTTGAGATCACTGAGGAACGGGGCTCGCCTCTGGAACAAGAAAGTAAATTTGTTGGTGTCTGCTTCGCTGGTTATGAATGTTTTCAACCTCCGCTTTTTATAGCTCGCAGTCTGTGGCTCTTAAAGGAGAAGAAATATATTTAGGTTGTTCGGCTCTTTGGTATTTATGCGTTTCTGATGTGTTTGTGCTTACTGAGCTGAAGTGGTATGTTTCAGTTTTCATGTCAGATTAAATGTGACGTGCAGTAGCCATTTCTGTCATTGTGCTCCTTTTAGTTTTGTCAGGGTGTATTTGTTGATTTTGTTTTAGACATATTTTCACAGTTTTCTAAAATCTCCAAAATGTACAGACATAAATAGAAACTGTTCACCGTGCACGGTGAGGCGTTAACTTGATTTTCAACACTCAAGTTCAGGTTTTGACTTTGAACTTTTCACTTGTACGATTGTCGTGTTCATCCCTGGGTCTGCTGTGTATCTGTTTATATTAGGTTGTGTTTGTCTAACTGTATTTTGTCTCCACATGAAAAGATAAGATTAATCTCAGTGTCTCACCTCCTGACTTATCATTTCCTCAGTCGTTTTCCCCTGACATGGCTGTGTTTGCTCCCGAGTTGAATCGGCTACAGAGGTTTTTCTTGACACACATCAGACCTCTCCAACCACAGACTAGTGAAATGAAAGCTGTGTTTTTTTTGTCGTGGTGGCATTCAGTAACTTCATGTGGTCGCAGTTTAGTTGACTTCAGAGATACTAACGCTCTTTTTTTTGTCCTCTCTCTCCCTCTGAAAAATTGCAGAAGCGTTTCATTAAAGGGTTGAGACAGTTCGGCAAAAACTTCTTCAGGATCCGGAAAGAGCTGCTGCCCAACAAAGAAACAGTAAGATGATTTGTTTACCTCCATACTGTTGAACTTTTTTCTCTGTGTGTGTCATTTGTACTAAAACTAAATCTAAAACATGGTACACATAAAGATTTTAGTGTGATATTTTCAGCATGACTGGTTTTTAACCAGAGGCCTCAATGAGAAGAAGAAAGTGCAGCCTGCCAACAACTGTGCTGCAGTATTATCAGATCTCGCTTCAGGCTGTCTGGAAAAAATTTAAAAATAAATACTTGTTATACCTGAGAAGAGAAAAGGTAAAACATACTTCACAGACAGCCACTTAAACCTAACCAGTGACATGCTGAACATTAATTAGCACCCTGTGCTAGCAAGTAGTAAACAAGTTGTGCAGATATGATGTGAGCCACTGTGTTTATAGCAGATCTCAGGTCTGAGAGCAGCCTGCTTTGTCTCACATTTGTGCTGAAGTGTTATAGTAGTTCTTGAGATTTTTGTGTTTTACATTTTCACCAACTTTCAGAACAGCTAACTCGGGTTATGACAGGAGCCTTCTGACAATAAACATGGATGGTCAAACAGTTGTGTATTTAAAGGGAACACAGTTATGGGTGTGTGTGATTGTGAGTTCTAGACACAGGCAGCATAACTGAAATTCTTTTAAAGACCCAGTTAGTAATTTTTGATCACATAAATTTGAGATAAACATACATAAAGAGTTGGAGTTTTTGATATAAAATGTGATTTTCTTTTTTATTTTGCAGCTGTGGATGACAGACAAATTGAACTGCATCAGAAATCATAAATAACTAAGGATCCATTTGCGATTGAAAGCAGGTTGTAAAACTGACAAATGAATTTGGTGCAGGACAGTGTGTTTATGGCTATTGTAAGGATTACATTTATATTTTATTGTTGCATGATAAATGTTATTTCTTGATAGTTCTAAGGTTAAATCACAAAGGTGTTTTAACAGCTTGTCACACTTTAAGGAACTCTTGTAATTGTGTTATTTATATACACAAGCGGAGGGATGTTCCTCTTGTCAGTTTCCTCCCTCTGTTTGTGAGCGTGATTGTGTGCACGTGCCAGTGTGTTAATCATCACTGAACAACTGTGTGACCTGTTTCATGGTACAAATGGGTCAAATCTGTGTCTAAAAATGATTAACAGCAGTTAACTTTATTAAACGAGATTGTGATGTTGGAAAGAAAACACAACCAACACACACTTTGACTCGGAGCAGTTTACTATTATCTTTCTCTTTTAACTGGACAAGACAGACTCTGAGAGCTTGAAAAGCACTTGATGTTTGCCTTGACTACAGTTTGCAGTTTGCATGTTGTACGTGTTTGCGTCAAAGGCCTCCACACGTCTGACTTAGCTGTCAGATTATTCTTGCTCAAGCATTCTGATTAATAAAACAGTGCAGACCTTGCTGTTTCTGTGAGGCTACTCCTGCTGGAAATGTGCCGATACAATGCTGACACAGACATCAAAAGAAAATTAAAGGTGTTTGTCACACCTCTCCCTGCTTCATGTTCTTATCCGCTGCGAGCAAAGGATATGTCAGCCCTGTTTTACTCGGTAACTTGTCAGTGTCACCTCCTTTGTGATACATTTTTAATTTCTTAAAACCCATTTGAATAGTCTTAAATAAGAGATTAAAGTGTGTTAATGCAGTTTCCTCAGAGAAGTTTCTGCAGTTATTTTTTTACTGGGTTTAAAATATATGACTAGTACAGTTGATTGGCTATAAAGGAGGTATTAATGCAGTTCAACCTGGAGGGGGAGTCTACTTGGCAGCAGAGGTAATAGACCTCCTCCAGGATCTAGGCCTGCCACCACCACAGAGCAGAGAGAGAGATTAATTTTCCTCCTGCAAATGGAAAATAAACTGCCCTTTAAACATATGAAAAGAGCTGAAAATGACTGGGAGAGCAAGGGGAGGGTAGCAGCGACCAGATGAGAAAGGGTAAGGTGGGGCGTTTGCTCAGTATAGATGCTAAAAAGCCTGGGTTGTCACACAGGGAAACAAAAACTCTTTGCTTATGACTAAACTTATTTTTGTGCTGTCAGACTGATCTGAGCGAGTGCCAGTCAATACCCCGAAGAAGGCTCAATTTTTTTTTTTCTACCTGCTCATTCCCAAATCCTATCTATGGAACACGAGCACATCCAGTATCTTAAAGATATTTTAGGTCTGGGAAACAACTGTGATTTCCCCATTACCTCTGCTCTCAGACGCACATCACCAGTTCTCCACTCGCATGACAAGTCTTTTGACAAAGCAGCGTGGTGCAGAGACGCGGGTGTTCCCGTCCTAAGTCCTGGCCAGACCGCTGTTGTTGAGCTAGAGTGCAGAGCACAAAGCCCTCAGGCTGATGTCCACAGCTCCAGCACAGTGTGTCTGCCCCTCACTGGTCCCTCCTGCTAGTGCCTGTTAACTGAGCTGCCCCTGAAGTGCCAGCACTGCTCCAACAACCAGTGCTAAGGGTAAGCAGCACCCGGTTATGTGTAAACACACCAGGCCCGACTAGCACTCAGGAATGCTTTATATAAAATCACATGAAGCCCAAGGGGGAAGTGGGTGTGTCGTCTGACTGTCTGCAAACTGGCTCTGCTGCCACCATTTCCTTCATTCCAAAGAGGACGTAATGGAACATGAGCTCGCTGTTTAAACAACTTGGTATGCTTAAATGGCAGATCACAGTTACCTCTGTGCCTGATGTTTTTTACTGGAGGACTTTCAGGAGCTGTCAACAGACAGTATTTACTAACTGATTTGTATCAGCTACAGCTCTGGTTGCTGTACAGCCCAACAGGGAAATCGACAGTTGCTTATTTCCATAGACAGCTAAGACTATTTAACTAGTAGCAAAAGATACAGCAACTAACTTACAAATTAACTGTTAGGATATTCGTATGCAAATAATGTTCATTGTACTATTTTAGGGACATGTTTTCAACGTTCAGTCACCAGTTCCTTTTCACTGTTCTGAAATATGCATCACTGAGTTTAAAAATAACCTTACTGCAAAATCAACTCATGCTTAAAATTGTTTTCAGTACAGTTAGTGCCCTATGAGAGAGATTATAAATTGCATGGAAACACAAGAAATTATTTTCCTGTATACTCACAGATCAGTATATTTTGGTTTTACAAATCGTAACAATTGTGTCACAATAGAACTCAAAGCAACTATAATCTAATATACTCAATGCTTTGTAGAACAAAAGCTTGGACTCTGTGTATATGTTTATCAGTTTTCTTCCAAATCTGTATCCTGTTCTTTGTTCTCTTCTGACTTCATTTTTAAATGTTAACAGACGTATACTGGCAGAGAAATACTAATGACTAATCGCCTAATTCTATTTTAGTGATAATTAGTAAAAGTCATGGGAAAATTAAAATATACAAGTAAATAAAATCCTGGTTTATTTACATTATGTAAGACAGTCGGCAGGTCCATTAGCTGCAAGTCCTAAAAACGTAAAGATGTATTTATGCTGGTGGTTCCTGTTTTGTTGTGACATGGAGCTGGAAAAGACAAAGCTGCAGTGGCAGCGTGTTAGAAAAGCAAACCCAGATGAAGCCACAGCATGTATTTGATTTGTGTTAGTCGTAAGTCAAAGAAGTGCCCTCAACACCTGGACAAGTAGCAGCAATGATCTGAAATTCTCAGTAATGCCTGTGTCTTTATTTAGCAGCCCCTTATGATTTGTGTTTATTGTTGGCTTTTGATTTGTAGCAGGTGACAGAACAGGGCAGGCCACAAAGTCACTGTGACTGTATGTCAGGGCGTACGGGTAACCTGAGCTCTGTCACGCTGCCTCGTCTGTTGGTGCAGAAATCAACCAGGAAACTGAATGCTTCTTGCAGGATCTTGTTCTCTTAGAGAAAAGAGAAGCCCCACCGCCCCACCCCAGGTCCTGTCATTTACACAGGCTGGCCAACAGGCGAACAGTGTTCTCAGCACCACCTCACAACAGATGTTTGCCCTGGTACAGTCTGTACAAACGTCAGATTGAATTCATTGCAATGTCTTCAGCTTAGCAGCCAGAACCTTAGGGAAGAGTGTGATTATAAATACTTTGGTTCAAGCACTAATTAAACCAGCTACAAACTACAGGGGCCTGGTCCAGTTGGCAGCAGCTGTAGGTGGTGTGACAAAACAGCTTCTGTGTTTGGTAAATGATATAACTTGTTTAGGCAGCAAAATCGCTGCCGGCTGATGGAAGCTTGACCAGTATGTGTTGATGTTCTTTTAGCAGACCACAGGCAATTTAATGCAGCTGAGTGCAGGCAAAATCTTCTTTTAGCCTAATAGATGGAGCCCAGAGAGCCAGAACTCCCTGTGTAATTGGGTTCTTTGGTAGACTTCATGTTGTGGGTTTTTGTGGGACTAGCTTATCAGCAGAACACCCAGGACCCCCCCCCCACCCCACCCTGAAAAACTGCAAAAAAAAAAAAAAAGGCACTGTTGCCATCCTGTGTGCTTTCATTGGCAAAAGCGCTTACAGCAGGAAAAACATGTGTGCTGATTCTTCAGCGTGTGCATCCCTGACCTGTGAAAGCAGAGCTTATTCAGTCATTCTGCAGCAGAAAGGCTCGGCGCAGCAGGGAACTGCTGTCTGTTTAACTGCCTTTCACATGCACTCTGCTCCAGCCAAGGTTCCCTTACTATTCAGCTGCAGTCATCATCTGCCCATGGGCTTCAAGGCATCACTGTGCTATAAGTCTATTTTTGAATATACTACAGATGTGTGACAGATTCCAAATAGTTGACCTCTGGGTTTTATTCCCCAGTGTGGATTGTACAACTTGAGCAATAGGATTAAAAGATACATTAAAAAGCACTGGATTTTGTTCAGAAACTACCAATTCAGAAAGGAGAATAAAAAACTTTCAGAGCTCGCAGTAAATTCATAAAACTAAGTGTAAAGAGGACACCACTATAATAATTTAAATAAAAAAAATTTCACCTGGTATTCCCCCAGGTACCATGGTATGTTACAGGGATATTTATATTTAG